ATGATGATGATGATGATGATGATGATGATGGTGATGATGATTATCATTGGTGGGGTTCAGAATGCTCTTTGATTGTATATGAACTATAAATCCCATCAACTATGACTCCCAAATGACAAACTCAACCCACCCACCCCCAACCTCACAGTATTCAAATTTGGGCGTATTGGGTATTTGTGCCAAATTTGGCCCAGCGAATGAAAATACATCCTGCATATCAGATTATGATTCATAACAGTAGTAAAATTACAGTTATGAAGTAGCAACCTAATAATTTTATGGTTGCGGGTCACCACAACACGAGGAATTGTATTAAGGGGTCACAGCATTAGGAAGGTTGAGAACCACTGGGTTAATGGATCTAATTGTTCTGCTGAAGATTGTTTTAATTGTCTGTGTAGTTTTGTTAGAAAAATTGGCTGGTTGCTCATATTTGTTGATGTTCAGTGCCTTCAAGTCATTTCTGACCAGGACAAATCTAACACAAGGTTTTTGGAGGCCAAGAGTGTGTGACATACCCACAGTCACCCAGTAAGTCTCCAGTGGCAGAGCAAGGAATCACACCCTCTTCTCCAGAGTCATCGTCCAATGCTCACACCACTGCACCACACTAGCTGGCAATAGTACTGAAGAAATATCTGAAAGGTGGCTCTATAATGGCTCAGGATGCTCAATGAGCTTGGTGTTTCTAGAACCTTGATGTCATTTTGGGAGAAAAGCAGATTAAAAATTCAATACATCCATCAATCTATAAGAGAAAAAATCTAGGAGACATGCAATTTGAGCAGGTGTAGGTTACAAGGAAAGCCACACCTACTAAAACCACACCTACTAAAACCTCCTCTCCTATGTAACAAAGATGCAGGAAGACTCTTCTTTTGCACCTGGACACCCTCAGGATACAACCCATGCCTTGGAACAAGAAGCTTCCACAGTTCAAACCCAGCTATCTCCAGTTGAAAGGATATCAGCCAGGAGACTAAGAAAAACAGTCCCACTGTCCAGGTCCCTGCAGATATGCCAGTCAAGAGTAGACAGTTCTATGAAAGAAGGACCAATGATCTGGATCATTGAGCACAGCATTGTCTACTCTAGACTTTTGTAAGCTATTTTATTTGGGGAACTTTCTGGTTTCCCTTCCTCTTGAGCATGGGGCAATAAATAATGGTCATATTATTTGTGTCCATTGACCACAACTGTTTTTTTCCCCAGGAAATACACAATCAACCAGCAGTAATTAACTTGGGGACCACTAGTTTCAGTAGAACTGGTCTATCACGCTGAGTTGCAGAGATTGTCTAGACTAGGTATGGGCAAACTTTGGCCTGTCAGGTGTTTTGGACTTCAACAACCACAATTCCTAACAGTTGGAGGGCTGAAGTTTCCCCATGCCTGGTCTAGGGTTTTGTGTAAGTTTCCTCCAGCCCAGCCTGGTTGATAGAGTCCTCCAGTTTGACTCTACAGTCAACTTCCTCCAGTCACACTGGGGGACCTAGAGATTTCTAAAGAGCACCTAACTGGGAATATTTAAGCCATCCATTGTGATTCTACAGTCAGCTTCCAGCAGAAGGCAACCTGGAAATTCTTAGAGGAGTGTTCTCTCAAGAAAGAAACTACTGTGATTTCTTTATTCACATTTTTTCACTTACATTGGGATTCTGTGCTTCTAACCCCAGCAAATATGGAGGGCTGGATATGCTTTGACACCAATCATTTTATTCATAGCCATCAGGGGAAAACTGAAAAGGTTTGCTGAAGTGTAATGAACATCCCTCTCAAACTTTGTGCAAGACCTTGAATCTAGAATCATGCATAGTGTAAGCCTTGGACACAGGTTTTACTATGCATGCACACAGGCATGTATACAATTTAAAAGCAAGAGACTTTTTTTATCATATCAGAAGCAGACCGAGAGTACATTTTAATGTATTAAAACAACAACAACAACACACGCAAAGTTTAAAAACTTGGCATGTACTAAATGTCCTTTGACCAATAGCTCCTAGGAGCCCCCGGTGGCGCAATAGGTTAAAACCTTGTGCCAGTAGGATGGAAGATCGAATCTGGGGTGAATGTGGATGAGCTCGCTCTGTCAGCTCCAGCTCCCCATGTGGGGATATGAGAAAAGCCTCCCACAAGGATGGTAAAACATCAAAACATCCAGGCGTCCCCTGGGCAACATCCTTGCAGATGGCCAATTCTCTGACACCAGAAGCAACTTGCAATTTTTCAAGTCGCTCCTGACATTGGAAAAAAAAAACAGTAGCTGGCCACTTGGAGGGCCTCTGGTGTTGCTATAAGGATGTCCTCTATTGTACATGTGGCAGGGCTCAGACTACATTGTAATAGGTGGTCTGTGGTTTGCTCTTCTCCACACTCACATGTCGTGAACTCCACTTTGTGCCCCATTTCTTAAGTTTGGCTCTGCATCTCATGCCAGAGCATAATCTGTTCAATACCTTCCAAGCTGCCCAGTCTTCTGTGTGCTAGGAGGGAGTCTCTCATTTGGTATCAGCTATGGCTTGAGGTTCTGGGTTTTAGCCTGCCACTTTTAGACTCTTGCTTGCTGAGGTGTTCCTAAGTATCTCTGTAGATCTTAGAAAACTATTTCTTGATTTAGGGCATGCAGAAAACTATTTCTTGATTTAGGGCATATCCGAACAGGGTCTGGGCTGGAGATGTCACTACCTTGGTCCTTTCATTATTGTCTGCTACTTCCGAACAGATGTCAGGTGGTGCAATACCAGCTAAACAGTATCATTTCTCCAGTGGTGTGGGGTGTAGGCATCCTCTAATAATGCTGCATGTCTCATTAGTCATAGAATCACAGAGTTGGAAGAGACCTCGGTGGCTATCCAGTCCAAACCCCTGCCAAGAAGCAGGACAATCACGTCCAAAGCACCCCAACAGATGGTAATCCAGCCTCTGTTTAAAAGCTTCCATAGAAGGAGCCTCCAACCACACCTCAGGGTAGAGAGCTCCACTGCTGAACAGCTCTCACAGTCAGGAAGTTCTTCCTAATGTTCAGGTGGAATCTCTTTTCCTGTAATTTGTAGCCATTGTTCCATATCCTAGTCTCCAAAGCAGAAGAAAACAAGCTTGCTCCTCCTCCCTGTGACTTCCCCTCATATATTTATACCAGGCTATCATGTCTCCTCTCAGCCTTCTCTTCTGCAGGCTAAACATGCCCAGCTCTTTAAGCCGCTCCTGATGGGGTTTGTTCTCCAGACCCTTGATCATTTTAGTCGCCCTCCTCTGGACACATTCCAGCTTGTCAATATCTCTCTTCAATTGTGGTGCCCAAATTAAGACTTACATCCACAGCAAGAGTGAAGAAACCTGGGTATGTGGTCTGCTTTTGTGTCCATTCTGTCTCCAGCTTCCCATTGCAGGAAATTTCCCTGGAATTTGAGCTTCCTGCTGAAAAACTGTCAAAAGGAAAAGCTGCAGAACAAGCCTTGTCTTGTGTGCAGCGTAACTAACGACAAGGGAGGAGGCAGAAAAGAAGATAAGTAAGAAGGTCAGGTTTGCTCAATTCCTGCTGTCTTTCCTGCTCCCTCCCTGAAGGGGAAGACCAGTTGAATGCCTTGCCTGCTGTCAGAATTCAAGGCAAAAGCCACACAATGCTTTGCCCTGTACATTCTACATATGCATTGTGCAGGCATGGGCAAACTTGGGCCCTCCAGGTGTTTTGGACTTCAACTCCCACAATTCCTAACAGCTGGTAGGCTGTTAGGAATTGTGGGAGTTGAAGTCCAAAACACCTGGAGGGCCCAAGGTTGCCCATGCCTGCCTAAAGAGAATCAATTCAGACCTGTGCGCACAGGAGGGATAGCCAATACTCCAGAAGATGGGAGCAGAATTCAAAATGATCTGAACATATTAGAGAGATGGGCCAAAACTAACAAAATGAAGTTCAACAGGGGCAAATGCAAGACACTCCACTTAGGCAGAAAAAATGAAATGCAAAGATACAGAATGGGGGACGCATGGCTTGTCAACAGTACGTGTGAAAAAGATCTTGGAGTCCTTGTGGACAAGTTAAACATGAGCCAACAATGTCATGTGGCGGCAAAAAAAGCCAATGGGATTTTGGCCTGCATCAATAGGAACCAGGGAAGTAATGCTACCCCTCTATTCTGCCTTGGTTAGAGCACACCTGGAATATTGTGTCCAATTCTGGGCACCACAATTGAAGGGAGATATTGAGAATAATAGAATCATAGAGTTGCAAGAGACCTCATGGGCCATCCAGTCCAACCCCCTGCCAAGAAGCAGGAATATTGCATTCAAAGCACCCCTGACAGATGGCCATCCAGCCTCTGCTTAAAAGCTCCCGAAGGAGGAGCCTCCACCAGACTCCAAAGTTGGAATGTGTCCAAAGGAGGGCAACTAAAATAATCAAGGGTCTGGAGAACAAGCCCTATAAGGAATGGTTTAAAATGCTGGGCATGTTTAGCCAGCAGAAGAGAAGGCTGAGAGGAGACATGATAGCCATGTACAAATATGTGAGAGGAAGTCTTAAGGAGGAGAGAGTGAACTTGTTTTCTGCTGCCCTGGAGACTAGGATGTGGAACAATGGCCCCAAACTACAGGAAAGGAGATTCCACCTGAACATTAGGAAGAACTTCCTGACTGTGAAAGCTGTTCAGCAGTGGAACTCTCTGCCCCAGATGTGGTAGAGGCTCCTTCTTTGGAGGCTTTTAAACAGAGTCTGGATGGCCATCTGTTGGGGGTGCTTTGAATGCAATTTTCCTGCTTCTTGGCAGGGGGTTGGACTGGATGGCCCATGAGGTCTCTTCCAACTCTATGATTCTGGGGATTGGTTCGGAGGAAGAGGTGTGTGTGTGTGTGTCCCCGGCATGTATTTGTGTGCCCATGAGCGTGCGATTCTGTGCTAGCCCAGATTTTGCATTTATAATGAAGCTGAACTGACAAAGCGTGAAAGTGGTCTAAGGGGAGGCAAACAAAGGAGGCAGCCCCGCTTTCTAGTGTGCCAAGACTCATCAATAGTCCTGCAGCTCCGCTTTCCCTGCACGCCTTGCCACACACACACTTTTTTTTTCCTCCCCTTGTTGTAATTTTTTTCTCTCCCTTCTGGCTGGACAGACTCCTCCTCTTTTCTTAAGTTGCTCCGATTTGTGAATTGTAATCCTCAGAGTACTACCTACTCTTACCAGCAGCAATCACTTTCTCTTCCTCGTTGCCTCCCCTCTTTTGCCCCCCTTCTTTCCCCCTTCCTAATCTCCTGGGAATCTTTTACCTTGTCTTTTGGGCAGTCCGCTTGAAGAATCCCACCGCTGGAAAAGGTGAGTGCATTCCTGAGTCAAACTGGCTGCTTCTTGCATTTTTGTTTTTCACCCTAATGTTCACTTAATAGCATTTTCCTTGCAGAAATGGATATGCATTTGATGAATGTGCCTGGTTTGGGTGAAGGGACAAGATGGGCATGTCTCTTGATTGTTAAGTCAGATGCCGCTGAAGTATGCCTCTGCTTTTAAACTGCACAGTTGGCAATGGAAAATTCTGACGGTGTCCAAAAGGATGCAGGAAAAGGATCTTTTTCGTAACACAGGGGAAACCAAAAGGACATCTGTTTCAGTAACAAAATCTGCACAAAGTTTGCTGTCGCAGGAGATGTTAAGCATTGCCAAATGGCACCATAGCTCTCCGCAACTTTTTAATCTGTCAGCTTGCCTCCAAAAGTTCGTTCCGTGAGAGCATGAACAGCTGCATTAAACAGTATAAGCAAACACACACCGTTATGAAGGTGAAATGGATCTAAAGGGAGAGTTTAGCAATAACAGATCACTGTAATCAGGTGGTAGGTGAAATGGATCTAAATGGAGACTTTAGCCATCAAGGATCACTATAATCAGGTGGTAGGTGTGGTGGATCTAAATAGAAACTTTAGCAATAAGGGATCTGTATAATCGGGTGGTAGATGAAATGGGTCTAAATAGAGACTTTAGCAATAAAGGATATTTATGATCAGGTGGTAGGTGTGGTGGATCTAAATGCAGACATTAGTAATAAAGGATCCGTATAATTGGGTGGTAGATGAAATGGATCTAAATAGAGACTTTATCAAGAAAGGATCGCTATAATCAGGTGGTAGGCAAAATGGATGTAAATAGAGACTTCAGCAATAAAGGATCACTATAATCAATTGGTAGGTGAAATGGATCAATATAGAGACTTTAGCCATCAAGGATCAGGTGGTAGGTGAAATGGATCTTAAAGGGAGACTTTAGCAAGAATGGATCACTATAATAAAGTGATAGGTGAAATGGATCTAAATGGAGACTTTTGCAAGAATGGATCACTATAATCAAGTGGTAGGTGAAATGGATCTAAATTGGGAATTTCTCAATAACGGATCACTATAATCAAGTGGTAGGTGAAATGGATCTAAATGGAGGCTTTAACCAGAAAGGATCCCTATAATAATCAGGTGGTAGGTGAAATGGATCTAAATAGAAACTTTAGCCATCAAGGATCCCTATAATCAGGTGGTAGGTGAAATGGATCTAAATGGAAACTTAAGTAACAAAGGACCTGTATAATCAGGTAGTAGGTAAAATGGATCTAAATAGAGACTTTAGCTATAAAGGATCTCTATAATCAGGTGGTAGGTGAAATATATCTATATAGAGACTTTAGCAATCAAGGATCGCTATAATTAGGTGATAGGTGAAATGGATCTATATAGAGACTTCAGCAAGAAAGGATCACTGTAATCAGGTGGTGGGTAAAATGGATCTAAATGGAGACTTTAGCAAGAAAGGATCACTATAATCAGGTGGTAGGTGAACTGGATCTAAATAGAGACTTTAGAAATCAAGGGTCGCTATAATCAGTTGGTTGGTGTGTGGAGTGGAGTAAATGATTTGCCATTGGTAGCAAAGTGTGTGTAATTAATAAGTAAGGGCGCAATGGGTGGCACAATGGGTTAAACTCTTGTGTCGGCAGGACCACTGACCAAAAGGTCGGCAGATCGAATCCAGGGAGCAGAATGAATTCCCGTCTATCAACTCCAGCTTCCCATGTGAGAACATGAGAGATGCTTCCCACAGGATGGTAAAACATCTGGATGTCCCATGGGCAATGTCCTTTCAGACAGCCAATCTGCTCACACCAGAAGCGACTTGCAGTTTCTCAAGTCACTCCTGACATGAAAAAAAATTAATAAGTATGGAGTGGTAGTCTGCTATGGGCTCAACGGCATGAAGAAATATACTGAGCTGACCTGTGTATGTATATGAGAGTGCCCTAAAGTCTGCTTTGCCCTGTTTGAATTGGTTCTCCGATGACAGCATATATTAAGCTCATAATCATGAATGAGGAAGAAAGGATGTGTGACTCAGAGCATCTTCTGAACTAGTGGGACACATCAGAGGCACTTGCGGCTTGCACAAAATAATGCATTGGGATCAGATATATTTAAAGCATAGCATCCATGTAGAATGCATTCTGTAATTGATCTTTTAACAAAACATGTAATTAGAATCAGTTATTTTATAAGCAGTCGAAATAATGAGGCATAACACAGTCCAAGTCAAATCCCATTGCTTTCAGTGAGAGTGAATCATGCGCTTCAATATCACCTGCTGAAATCAATGAGACTTTAAGGATACAAATGTGTACATAGCTAGCTGTGAGTAAATGCCATTGAAGGTTGTGGGAATACGCAATAAACTTGGATAATGACTGCATTAACTATTCAGCTGCAGAAGGATATTGCCCATGCCTTGTTTGTCCGCATACAGATGACTCTTTTCTTCTGCGTTGTGTTGTAAAATTATTCCACTTTAGCCACTTTTATTTTAATGCATTCATTAAAAAAAATCATAATTGAGTTGGCATAAACTGAGTTAACAGATTGTGACATTTTGAAATATCTAAACCAGAATTTCTCTACCTTTTTACCCTGGAGGAAAACTTGAAATAATTTTCAGGTCTCAGGAAACCCTTGCATACAAGTTGTTCTATCTACAATTCTAAAATAGAGATTGCAATTGCTTTTCCAATTACAATCTCTAGCGGAACGCTTTGCGATCTCTCACGGAGGCCTTCGGATTCCGGAGAGCCCTTGTTGAAAACCCATAACCTAAACTAAGGGTTGTTGTAGGTTTTTCCAGGCTATATGGCCATGTTCTGGAGGCAACATGGCCATATAGCCCGGAAAAACCTACAACAACCCAGTGATTCCGGCCATGAAAGCCTTCGACAATACAACCTAAACTAAGTCGGTATCATCGGCATCCATCCTGAAAACTCGGACTGCTGAAAAACACCCCAAGATTGCAGTGATTTGTAATTGTTATTAATTTTTGCTACAATTTAAAACTGTTTTTCTTAGCATCTAGTAGTTAAAATGTTTCCTCATGTTTTTGTAAGAAAGTATGATTTTGAATTTTGTATCCAACTACAGAAACTAATGTTTCTTTCATTCTCTTTCCAACGCTTTCTTTCTAGGTTTCGATCAAGAAGAAAGAATTTCCTTTCTCTTTGCCCCCCACCCCACCCCGAGGAAATTTTAACACCAGCATACTATCAAGAAGATCTTTTCCCTCGAGATATCGATGACTAAAAGTAACGGAGAAGACACAAGATCGGGCAATAGGATGGAGCGCATCCAGCAAGGAGTCCGGAAACGTACACTCATGGCAAAAAAGAAGGTGCAGAGCATCACAAAGGATGATGTGAAAAGTTACTTACTGAGGAATTTTTTTGTGCTGTTCACCATCATTGCAGTCATTGTCGGTGAGTAATTTGATCAACACAACAATCCTGAAAAACATCAGTTGGACAGAGCCGCCGCTGTTCATTTTCTAACCCATTGAGAACTTTCAGGCTTCAAAGGTTTTTCAATCTGATCACTCCATGTTGTTGGAGAGTTGGAGAAAGTTTCTCTTATTAGTCAGACCGACAATCCCGGCTGCTGTTATACGTCCCATCAGTTTAAACCAGACAGTAAGATTCAAAATTGGAAGGAAAAGTGTTGAATTATCATGCTGATTTCCTTTCAGTTTACTTCCAAGAACACTCCTTAGTTAGAAACTGCCCTCCCATATTTTTTCTGGCCTTAATGTTTCTTAAAAGTAAAGGAAATCAGTTCAATCCCTGCCTGATTCTCTAAGGATGGGCTGTTATGAGTTTTTTGGGCTGTGTGGCCATGTTCCAGAAGCATTCTCTCCTGATGTTTCACCTCACAACCTCTGAGGATGCCTGCCATAGATGTGAGCAAAACATCAGGAGAGAATGCTTCTGGAACATGGCCGTACAGCTCAGAAAACTCACAACAATCGTGATCCCGACCATGGAGGCCTTCGACAATACATTGAACATCTCTAAGAATGTCTTTCTGTCATCACCTAAAAATGACCAAACAACCAAACTCAAAAAATCTGAATGGCGCTAATTCATAAAAATAACAATGTGTCACTTAAATCTTTAACTATTTTGTCCTCGCTATTCAACTGTTTCCAGTCCGATGCCCAAGGTCAGGTGCTTTACTCTTTGTGTTACTCATATAATTCAGTGGCCAATGAGAGATTTACCTGTGTAAAGGTAACTCAAGGCAATTTGATTAGGTAGTGTTTGCAAAAGTGATTAGGGCAATGCTTTAAAACTTTTATAGTTTGACTATCACTAGTAGGAAGAAACACTTGGCTTGGGAATTGTCTTGCTGTGTTTATTCTTCATATATATATATACACACATGATAAGAATTTATTCTGACCTGGATTCAAAGAACTGCATAACTAGTTCAGCATGTCTAGGGGATGTTGAATTCCTGTTTCTGAAACATTAGCCCCTCCTTCCCTCATGGCAAATGTCTTTTTGTAAATGTAAATAAAGCGACATTCCCAGCAGACATGCCTATTACCCTTGAGCACAGCAAAAGTAGCTTTCTGGGCCATGGTCGCCTTAGTGGATGATCTCCGCAGAGAGCTCGACAGAGGGAGTGTGTACCTGTTGGTTCTCCTGGACCTCTCACTGACCTTCAGTATCATTCTGGGTCATCTCACGAGGATGGGTCTTGGGGGTACTGTTCTGCAGTGGCTCCAGTCCTTCCTGGAGGATCATAGGTGTTGTTAGGGGACACCTGATCAGCCCCACAGTCATCACCCTGTGGTGTCCTGCAGGGCTCAGTATTGTCCTCCATATTGTTTAACATCTACATGAAGTCGCTGGGAGAGATTCAGAGTTTTGGAGTTTGGTGCCATCTGTATGCAGATGACGTCCAACTCAATTACACTTTTCCACCAGATGCTAAGGAGGCTGTCCAGGTCGTGAACTGGTACCTGGCTGCTGTGATGGTCTGGATGAGGGCAAACAAATTGAAGTTGAATCCAGACAAAACAGAGTTCCTCTTGGTCAGTCGTAAAGCTGAACAAGGTATAGGGTTACAGCTTGTGCTGGATGGGGTTACAGTCCCCTTGAAGGCACAGGTTAACAGCTTGGACTCATCACTGAGCCTGGAACACCAGGTTGCGGTGATGACTAGAGGGGCTTTTGCACAATTAAAAATTTGTGCCAGTTGTGCCTGTACTTTGGGAAGTCAGACTTGGCCACGGTGATCCACACTTTCCTTACATTCAGCATAGACTACTGCAATGTGTGCTGTATATATGCTGTGCTCCTCCCTGAGTCCCCTTCAGGATGAGAAGGGCGAAATATAAATGTTTCAAATAAATAAATAATAAATTGTGAAAACATATTTTATAAAGAAGGAAAGATTTCATCTAAGTGAGTGTGAGGTATGTGAGAAATGTTTGATGCTGGGGTTCTATTGTCGATAAACAAAAGGAATTTCTGCTCTGAATAGTCATTTTCTTTACTTTGGAGAGTGTCAAGCATTAAGATATTATTTTTCAAAACACGAAAGTAAGTTTGCTTATTGCAATCAAAGGAACGGACTTGACTTGCTTCATATCTCTCTCCAGGAAACACATTTCAAAGTTGTTTTCTTGCAGAAATTGTACAGGCATGGCAATGTGGCTGTCCGTTTCAGATAGATGCTAAAACATTTTCTACACTCTTTTGTCAAATAAAGCTTTTGTTCAAAACTACTTCTGTCATTCTAATGGAACAATCTGATGTGAATGCATTTTACACAAGCCCTGCCAGAAGAATAGGAACTGTACGGAAACATGGCAGTCTGAAAAGATCCCGTACATTTCAAACTGTCCTGCAAAAAAAGAAATTCTAACTAAATTGTATACTTATTAATCTTTAGGAAAATTATTTGATTCCTTAGGACAGTGTTTCTCAACCTTCCTAATGCTGCGACTCCTTAATATAGTTTCTCATGTTGTGGTGATCTCCAACCATAAAATTATTTTTGTTGTTACTTCATAACAATAATTTTGCTAGAGTTATGAATTGTAATGTAAATATGTGATGTAAAGGAGTTGTTTGGGAGTTATAGTTGCTGGAATTTATATTTCATGTGCAATCAAAGAACATTCTGAACTCCACCAACAATGGAGTTGAACCACGCTGGGCACACAGAACTCGAATGATCAACAGAAAATACTGGAAGGGTTTGGTGGGCATTGACCTTGAGTTTTGGAGCTGTAGTTCACCTACATCCAGAGAGCACTGTGGACTCAAACAATGATAGATCTGGACCAAACTTAGCACGGATACTCAAAATGACCAAATGTGAACACAGGTAGAGTTTAGGGAAATAGACCTTGACATTTGGGAGTTGTGATTGCTGGGATTTATACCTCACCTACTATCAAAGAAAATTCTGAACCTCACCAACGATAGAATTGGGTTAAACTTCTCACACAGAACTCACATGACCAACAGAAAACACTGCTTTTTGATGGTCTTTGGCAACCGCTGAGACACCCCTTCACGATTCCCCCCAGGGTCCTGACCCCCAGGTTGAGAAACACTGCCTTAGGGTAAACATCTTTCTTGGGCAAAATGTGCAATGATGTATCCAGAGTGAATCTCTCAGTAGAATCAATGGGAAATGCTTTTCAGTAGACACATATAAGATTAGACAAGTTAAAGACATATTTAGCTATTTGAAATGTAACCATGAAAATTCTCTTTATTTATTCGGATGGATTTATCCTGTGGTTTATATAGGTTTATGTGTAATTTTAAAGATATTACTCCTTTCAGAAAGCGGATGGGACTTGCATATGTTTCAGGAATACTGTCATCCAGGTATTTTGTAAACTCTAAAATTCTTAGTCTCTATGAGAGTATACCAATTGTATTGAGTCAATGAAACTTGAACAGATGTTGACTTAACAACACCCTATTGATTTAATAGGTCTGCTTTTGTTGTGACTAGCAATTGGGCTTAAGCCAATATGTATAACAATGTTATGCATCCACAAAATGCTCTCTGGATATCATTATTGGATGGGATATCCATGTTCCCATAGATCATTTTATGGATTCACTTGGGAAAGTGTTGAAATTATTTGTTCAGGTGATTACAAAAATGGTCTGAGTCGGACATTAGAAATCATATCTTCTAGAATTGGAATAGCTGTAAAGTGATGGGATACACTTTCAGTGGTTCACTTCTAAGTTAAGAAACCAAATAAATGGGTGTATTTATTGGATGGTAGTAAATTCTTCACTTCAAACATCAATTTGTCCCATAGTTTGAACCAACTGAATGGCATTTACATGAATTTGTGGTTCCTCTTATTTGTTGTTTCTGTGTGCCTTCATGTCATTTCCGATGTATGGTAATCCTGAGGTGAACAGTGTTGGCTAAGGAGACATTTGGTCAAGCCACCCTTCTCTGAGTCTGAGAAAGTGTGACTTGCCCAAGATTACTCAATGGGTTTCCATGCCCAAGTCGGGATTTGAACTCTGGTTTCCCTGAGTCCCAGTCCAGCACCCAAACCAGCAACTGCACTGGGTATGTTCCTTTTATATGAAGTTGGAGAGGGGTCTATAAATGGAGATGTTAGGCAAAGAATGGGACAGTGTTTTTGTCGGTAACAGAATAATGAAATCTCAATTATTTTAGAGACGTCAAGTCTACAGTAGTGCAACTCATCCAATCCCTGCATTAAGTTTCTCATAAAAAGTGTTTTACCAGTTGGTTGTAATGTAAGGAAAAGGACAGTATCTTGAAGTATGCTTGGTTTTGAGGTTTTTTTTAATCATGTCAGACGCAAATTGAGAATATACTGTAAGTCGCTTCTGGTGTGAAAGAATCAGCCGTCTATAGAGACGTTGCTCAGGGAATACCTGGATGTGTTATCATCCTGTGGGAGTTGTCTCTCACGTCCCTGCATGGGAAGCTGGGACTGACAGATGGGAGCTCACCCCATCTTGCAGATTCGAACAGCCAACCTACAGGTCAGCAGTTCAGCTGGCACAAGGGTTTAACCCATTGCACCACCGTGGCTCCTTGTTTTGAAGAGTAATCTAAAAACTCTTTAACTTGTATATACTTAAAAGTACAAAAACTGTATTTCAGATAAGAAAATTCTCATTGGAATTGTGGTACATTTCATTGGCAGTCTTTGATTATGGTACTTAGCATGTTGGATGGCTAGATGACTCTCTTAAGGGCTAATGTTTGGAAGACTCTATAGTTGTTGAAACAGAAATCAGAACTGCAGTTCCAAAAGGTAGTCCAAAAAAGTGATTTTTCTAACCTCACTCTCCTTATGGCATTCTAAATCTGTGATTTTGCATTCAACGGAGATATTTAGAAATGGAGATCACTGGGAATAGTTGAGAGGAAATCTGTCATTGAATTGAAACAA